GACTCGTGGCAGTCAAAAAGGCTTGTTGCTTTGGAGAACAGAGTTCTACAGAGAAGTGAGGCTTTGGGGCAAGGGAACAAGTGGTTTTAAAGTACTAACAAAAGCTGTTTAGGGTTCTTAAATGTAATCAGTATTGATTGCATTGTTCTGCAGATGTAGGATACTTTAAGCCTTAATTGCTGGGTGTGAATTGTCAAGTTAAGTGATTTATTTTTGTACTGGGATGTTGTAGCTGTAGTAGTTAGTGTAAACTATTTCTTGGCGGGTGGCATGAAGAGGCAGCTTTCCTACCTACAGCTACTGGGTGAGTGAATTTGTGTCTGTTTGTTCACATGGCTATTTTAGCACAGTTGTTCGTGACTTACACCTGTCCATACTATTTAACAGTTCTGAAACAGTCTTAAAACACGAAAAGCTGATGTTTAGTAGCAGGTCTGTTTACTCAAGCTGAAGATAAAATTAATTCTTGTTTTGAAGCCAGTGAGATGAAAATTGTAGCAGATGCCACTCAACACTTAGCCATGCTAAGTCAAGATTCTGTTATATGATCTGAAGTACAGTTACACAATATATTTGGGTTTTTATTATTTATAAAGCGAGAGGAAATTTTTGCAAATATTAACTTCGTGTAATTTATGTCATCTGAAGAGGCCTTTTGTATGTAACTGAGAAATAATTTACACTTTTCTACAATATCTACAAACCCATCTTGCCTTTTTACAAATTCCCACCTGGAATGTGGCAAGCAGAAAAGAGGAATATATAAAATGGTGGTGGTGGTGAAGTAATAGGTGACTTTACTCTTACCAGAACCACCAGTAGGAATTTGTCATTTTACCAGGTGTAAAGGACGATCTTCAGTTACTGTTGATAATTACCTGTTTTTCAGGTACTGTAGGTCAGCTGCATGATAGGTAGTTTGACAAAGCACTGTTGATTAGAATAGGGGGGAAAATCCAAAAGCAGCTTAAGATACTTAAGTATTGGTGTAAATAATCTCACAGGTTGAAACTAGTAAAAGTTGTCAGAAGTTTGTGGTAGAGATCACTGTAAAAAATACCAGAGAACTTCCATATGAGTGAAAAAAAAAAAAGTGGAATGTAACTGCCTTTTTGATTACGTACCTGTTACTTTGTGAGACAGCCTTTCTCTGCTTTTTATAAAATTCCTAACATGTTCAACATGTCAGTTGCCTTTTTCTTTTTTTTTTTTTTTCCCAGCAGCATCCAACAGCTGTTGGTGTCTCCTCTCAAGGAGGAGCTGAAACAGTAGTAAACAATACACACCACCTCATAACAACAAAACTAATACTTCCCATGAGGTGTGGTTTTCTAAGATAATGCCAGTCATGGAGTTGCTAATGAAAACACAGTCTAGCTGTAAGCACAGTCTGACCCTAGCAGCTGGATTTCATTACAGTCTATTAGGTAGTAACAGATCGTGAACAAAAAATGTAGCCTTCAAGCAAAGTAGTTTGCTCTTCTTTTTTTGTCTTCAACAGTATGAAGTCACATTCTCGTCTGCCAGATTTTCAGTAGCATGTGAAATTGTTGATGCTTCCCTTACAAGACAAAGCTAAAAATAGAATTACGTCTGGTCAACTGACTTTTTTTAGCAGTCTGTAGCGTAAAATTATACTTGTTTGCTGTGGCTATTGAAGCAGCTGACTTGAGAAGGTGGTGAAGTTGAGAACAACCAACCGGTGAAGTTTAACAGCTTTCTTTTTCTTGTGTTTTTTTTTTTTGTTTGTTTGTTTGTTTGTTCGTTTGTTTCACACAAGTTGAGGTTGCATCCTAGATTCTCATTTAGAACGAGTCAGGTGCTAAGACAATTAACTGTCTTTTAGCATTTGAAGGAAGAAAGGCATGCTGGATGTAACTGACCTAGCAGTTCTTTACTGACCATTGTAATCCACATGTCTCAAGTGCTATGTTTTCTTGTAACTTGTGACTTATTTCTTTGTTTGTACCAATTTTGTAGTTGAACAGTGGCATGTGTTTAGTGAAATTGTGTCTGAATTGCTGTTAAGTCAGAAAAATAGAAAGGCTTTTTATGTCCAAACTCAAATTCATAAGTGGGCACTATTTACAAAGCTATTTGATTCAAATGATATTTGAATATGAATTTGAAAACACTTTTTCTAGGATTTTGATAAGCTTTTACACTTATTATGGATAGCATAATTGGATATTATTAATCAAATGCAAAACCTAGGGAACTCCTTTTTCTTTTCTTGTGTTAGACTAGTAGAGCAATGTATCTACCAAGCTGGTCAGGCATAGTGGAGCCCCTCCTTAAGAAATTCAGTTGGGTGGCATTTAGCAGGTATCCATACAATTGTTTCTGTTGGAAAAGAGCTTTGAGTGCAAGTGTTACCTAATACTACCAGGCCTACCACTATACCATGTCCCTAAGCACCTCATCTGCCTCCAGGGATGGTGACTCCACCAACAACCTGTGCAGCTGATTCCATCAATGCTTATTATCGTTATATTATTTATATTATTATTATCAATGCTAGGTAATCCTTTCAGTGAAGAAATTTTTCCTAATCTTTAACCTAAACCTCCCTTGGCACAACTTGAGGCAGTTTCCTCTTGTCCCATCACTTCTTACTTGGGATAAGATGCCAATCTTCACCTCATTACGGCCTTCCTTTGGGTAGTTGTAGAGAGCAATAAGGTCTCCCCTCAGCCTCCTTTTCTTGAGGATAAACAACCCCAAGTCCCTCAGCCGCTCCTCCTAAGACTAGTGCTCTAGAGCCTTCAACAGCTTCCTCACCCTTCTTTGGACATGCTCCAGAATCTCAGTGTCTGTCTTGTAGTGAGGCATCCAAAGCTGAACCCAGTACTCGGGGTGCAGCCTCACCATTGCCAAGTCCAGGGGAACAGTCACTTCCCTGGTCCTGCTGGCCATGCTATTTGTGACATAATCCAGGATGCCATTGGCCTTCTTGGCCACCTGGGCACACTGCTGGCTCATGTCCAATCGGCTCTCCACCAACACCCCCAGGTCCTTTTCTGCCAGGCAGCTTTCCAGCCACTCCTCCCCAAGCCTGGAGCATTGCCTGGGGTTGCTGTGACCCAAGTGCAGGACCCAGCACTTGGCCTTGTTGTAGCTCATGGGATTGGCCCAGGCTCATTGTGCAAGAAGAATGGAATTACACAGTAAGCACTAAAATTGTTCTGAAAGCAAGTATATTTAAACAATCATTGTTTCAAGTTACAGCATATTTTTACCATTTTCTTGGGGTTTTTGTAGGTCACTACCATGTTGAATGATGAGCCTTTAGTTGTGTGTGTCAGTGTTTCCAGTATAATTATTACCAGCATGTGTATCAGAGGCTTGGGATTGGGTTCTTCTGTTTGTTTTTTTTTTTTTTTTCCTAAACTCTTTAATAGATGTGGTTTAGGGAGCAGTGTGATTAGTTATCATTTTGTGAAGCCACAGCTGCAGAGTAGCACTGCTTATAAAGAAGGTGAACCAGTAATTGACTTGATTGCCTTCTTGTGTAAGTCACATATTTAAGAAATATCCAAATACTGTTATCTTGCTGTATTATACAATCCGTGTTGTAGCTTACCCTTTCTGGTCCTGAATTAATCAGCTTCAGAAGACAGGCAGTGTATCAGCTTGGTAGAAAGCCAAGAGACTAGAGTTATCCTACAGCTGTCCTGCATTCAGGTTGAGACCCAAGATAGTAACTGTGTGATATTCCTTGGATCTTATTGTAGTGAGTGCCTTGTTGGTGCCAATTTGTTTTCACACATGATTCTAGTATTTTAACTATATTGCCATCCGTAGACAGTTCCTTTGTGGCTGTAGGTAAAAGTATGTGATAAAACAACTCTTATCTTGTGTTGAAGATAATTAGCTCATCTTCAAGTTTCCCATGTCTACTGGAGCTTCTGTAGTTGCCCCTGATTGAAACAATTCTGTAATGGAACCGGTTCTCTGCCCTGAAGCTCTCCAGCTTGGAAAATAAGACTGAGGACTCAGCTGTTGGTTCTGTGCTTGTTGGTGATAGGGTGCTGCTGTTGTTTTGTAACAAAGTGTTTATGCTCAAGAGGCTTCACAAAACATACTAAGTAGTGTCCATCTTTTCGAACTAAAATTTTATACACAAGTCCATTGTGTTAATACATGATGCAAGGATTGCACGATCTCTAGTACAGTGTTCTGCTTTGCTACTAGACTCTTAATGTCTTTGTGATGACTTCTGACTTAAACTTTTTTCAAAAAGTCTTTTTTTCTCTTTCTTTCATGGTGGGTCTTGGGAATTAGCTTCATCAAGTCAGAATGCTTCAGTCAGTGAAGTCAGGTGTTTTTTTACTGCTTTACAGACTTTGCTTACCGCTTAGTAGTACCATGAAAGTCCTGCAGCTTAAGCTGTTGTGATCTTCTGGTTCATTTCTGTTTGATCAGAAAAGCTTCTAAAATTCTACTGTTGTTACTTTGGTAGCCCTTTCTGGTCTCTTTTGATACGGGGAGGCTTAAGAGTTAATACTGTTTTGTTTTCATTGGGTTCTGTTCAGGTGAAACACTGGATTCATTCCTTTCTAGTGTGAAATCTCAGTGGGGTATCATTGGGATACCTGCAGTAGGCATGCTCTCTTGCAGCAGTCATACTGGTTTATATGAGGAAAACTAGTCAGTTTTGAAAATCTATTCGTAGAGCGGTTTTTAATTTTGAGTGGCAGTGCCACATAGTCAGTGTGGTTTAATAGGCTGTGGTCTGAGAAGAGCTTTGTTCTCCAACTTGTAGGACCTTACTGCATATAGGTTGAGGAGCTGTCATGCTGTCGTATGTGGCTAACTACTCTGATCAGTGACCTTGCTATTCCCATATGCCTTGTAAAGATGCATCTTGCCTTCAGGCTACACATAAAGGAAATTTTCCCAGATTCATGATGCAATGCCTGTATTTGTGTGAGGTTTTCTTTCAGGCACCTTTCCAATACTAGGCTTATGTTAGTCTTTATTACCCTAGCAGATTGGTGGTAGTCTTCCTTGTGCATGATGTTAATGCATCTTAAAGAGCCTACAGATAATAATTTAAGAACAAAACAGTAGTTAATAAAGGCCTGCTCAGTTCTGATAATCTGTTGCTCTGAAGATTTTTTTGGTCTTGTAATTGGAGATTACAGGTCTAGTAAAATACGAGCGAAGTAAACCTGCTTAGGTAACCAACCTCTTGAGCTGGAGATTGGGAGGGAGGGTGACTAAGGTGATGGAGAGGGGCACATGCCAACAGGAATTCTGTTGAAAATGATAAAACTTACTTTAGTGGTGTAGGATTTGCTTCATCTGAACACTGCTGAGGAAGCAGGTGTGCAGGTACCAGTAGCCACTACTTACTAACTTCCAGCATTTTTTCATTTGTTCATTCCGTGGTAATAATATAGCAATCTTAGAAAGCACTTTGCCTGATGATTAACACCATGTGATTTCTGGAGTAAAATATTGAGGACTGGAATTGTGTTTGCCCAGTTTGACTTGGCTTTGGTGCTAAAGGAAGCCTTCTGTGGCAAGCAGTTGTCAGGATAGTATCTGATTAATTTATATTGGCTTTTGATATAATGGCAGAACAACTAAAATATTTTTCATGTAAACTGATGAAAAAGGATTTTTTTGTTTGGTTGGGGTTTTTTTGGGGGGGTTGGTTTGGGTTCTTTTTTGTTGTTTTTCTGAGCTTTCAGGAAGGGGCAGGGTAGACAGCTTTGCCTCTCCTAGCCATTACTCAGAGCACATCTGTGAAAGTTTAACATGATAAAAACTAGTCATAAGACTTGACTCTGCTGGCATAAAAGAATGAAATCTTTTCTTCACAGAGAGTAAAGAATTGAAAGTTTTAATGTGCATTTAGGGGTGTATATCCCATTTTGTCTTAGGACCTTTTAGTGCCCATTACTGTATGTTGTGTACTGCTCTTCCTTGAAGGGGAAGTGTTACTGTTCTGTGTGTCTTTGTTTTGTGGTCAAGTAATCTAGATTAGTAGGCTGTCTCTGCCTTGGTGAGATCCTGGGAAGTTATGAAAAGTTACTAAAAGTCACTTTTGCTTTCCTTGTTGGCATGATGGGCAGTAATAAAGGTTGCCTCTCATGTTTTCATTTCCTCTTAGTGCACGCTCTGAGTGACCTCAGTTATTTAGGTCACTGGTGATTTGCTCTTTCTTCTGCACTTTCTTTTGCATGTGATTGAAATGGCATGCACCCAGGGCTCCTAAGTTGGTTCTGATGCAGATAAAGCTTCCCCTGGCTACGCCAAGTTTTAATGCACCAAACTGCAAAGTGTGAGCATTCCTGGTCCTTCTCTTTCATTTGCCATGGCTTATGATTAGCATTTCATTTTTTAAAAAATGAGCAATATAACAGATCCAAAAAGCACTGTGCTTTTTGGGAGGTATTTGGTCATTTATAAGGCTACAGCTAATGGCTGTTGGCCAAGGTGCCCTAGTGTCTGATAGTTCTACCCTGTTTGTGATACCACTGTATTTTAACCTAGTTTTTGCTCACAAGCTTTCAGATAGGTTAACTGATATTAAACACCACTTTCCTTGGGATTTAAAAATGAGTTCAGAGGATCATATCTCTTCACTGAGAAAATGTTAATCATCAAGACAAAGAAATTATTTCTCAAAAAATGCAAAGCAGCAGAAATTACTTCAAAAAGTACAGCAGTAGTGGTTGTAGTTGTAGGTCGCTAATTATTCTTATTCCCTCAGACTTGCAAAATAGAACTGACACTGACCTTCCCAAAATTTTTAGAAAATATCTATATGCGAGGTGACAAAAAATAAAGGTCGTAAATGGCCTTAGTTGTTCATTAGGACTGCTTCTATAATATATAAATATAGGCAGTATTAATAACCATTTTGTTGGTTCTTTCTTACCTCGGAGAGATCATCACTTTTAAGTCTTGTTCAGATTATGAAGTCCTGACTGAGGGCTGTCTTTTGTACAATGAATTGACGTGTTCTAGGTATTAGTGGTAATAGTGAGCTGGTTTTTTAGAATACCTGTGAACATTGTAAGGCAAATCAAATTAAAAAAAAAAAAAAAAAAAAAAAAAAAAAAAAAGAAACGGGAAAAAAAAAAAAAAAAGGAACAGGAGTAAAGATAGAAAAAGAGTCAACTGTTTCTAACTGTTTCTCCCTGTTTGAAAAAAATCCCCTTTTCATAGGCTACAAGACCTACCAATCCAAAAGAATCTCATCTGATAAACCTTATTTGTGTGCATAAAGTTCATTACAAATGTCCTTAAAGCTTACATACTCCATTTATTCTGGAACGTGTTTTGTAATTTGTTCTATTTTAGAGCAACAGGTGTTGTCAAGCAGCTGGGAGTGTTCAGGAAAACTCTTTATCAGGTGTTAAAGTTGTGTACAAACACACCTCTCAGCTCTCTTCTGTTCCAGTTTGGATATGAAGAGGATATTTAAAAAAAAAAAAAAAAATTGAGAAAAAAACCCCTTTATTTAAACAGAATTAACAGATCCACAAAAGTTCACAAAAAGACACATTGTTGTCTGTCAGAGAACTGAAGTAAAAGGTGACTCAAGTTGCCTGAAAGTGCTCATGACAGGCAACTGGAAGATTACTCTTTTGACTAGATGTGCTTGAATGCTAAAGCTGAATGCAGTACAAAAATACAGATATTGCATATAAATCTGTGTTTTTTTCTTTGAACTACTAAAAGTGTTGAAAACATGAGGGCTCTTTTGAACTGTTTGTTGCATCTGTATTCTGGGTCTGCCACAGAACCAGTGACTTGCTAGGTGCTGTCTTGGTGAACCGTTGTAAGCATCTGCCCTCACAAGTGTAGTGGCATAGTAGCCCAGTACTGTGATAGCAACATGTTACTGAATGTCGTCTGTTTGGAGTTACCTTCCTGTTAGTTACATTCTGTACTGCTATTCCCTCTGTCCAGCAACTGTAGCTACAACAGTATTGTTAACTGTTTGGGATGAAATATTGCTTGATCATACAATTTTTAAAAAATATTAAATGTGTACGTGAAACTTCCAGAGTGCTTTCCAAGCCTTTAACACCTGCATACATCTCTATAGGGGTAACAAATACGTGCCTTGTGTTTTCTAGCTGGTGGAACTATGGGGAAAATATGATTGCCTTGTATAGAGCCAAAAGGGAAGAACAGAGTACTTAAATCTCTGTTCCTGATTTGCATTTTAATAGACTAGTCTATATGGTAGTGTCCACAACAGACATCAGGGTCTTAGAAAGGGGAATCAATTCTTAAGAAATACTTGGCACGCTACTGAATAGCTAGTGAGGGAAAGAAAAAGAAATTTAACCTTGATTTCCTTTGCTTGTTTTAACAGTTGTTACTCAGCCAAGCCCATCGGTTTCTCAGCCTAGTACTTTGCAGTGTGAAGAGAGAGCTTCTGAACTGCCCAAACCAAAGAAGAACAGATGTTTCATGTGCAGAAAGAAGGTTGGCCTTACAGGTACGAGAACTCCATCTGTTTTGGACAGATCTGTATGACTAGTTGCCTCTTGCTAGATTAAACTTGAGGAAATATCTCTACTGTTAAACTTAGTTGCTTTTTCAGAATCCAGACAACTTAGTACTGCTGTTCTACTTTCCTTAGTCGGTATTTTACGGTAGAGGAACATACCTGCTTTTGTTTTGTGGCTAAGCCGTTAATTTACAACTTAATTATATATGAAGCTTCCTAGTGATGTTGCTTGTTTTTCTATATACAGGATTTGACTGCCGATGTGGAAACTTATTTTGTGGACTTCATCGTTACTCTGACAAGCATAATTGCCCATACGATTACAAAGCAGAAGCTGCAGCAAAAATCAGGAAAGAGAATCCAGTTGTGGTGGCTGAAAAAATCCAGAGAATATAAATCAACCTGCTTGTGAAAAGACTGACTGACTTTTTTGATTTTCATATATCCTAGGAAAACATTAAAGAGCAGGTGCATGGCCTTTTCCCTTCATTCTCCAAAGTTTTACTTTTAGTCTTGTCTGTCCTAATGATATTTCAGAATGTTTGGGTGTTTGTTGCAGGCAGAATTGGATAGATACAGCCCTTGAAAATATATATGCTCTCCCCAGAATATAATTGGATGATCAGAAACCTGCACAGGAATACACATTGCACAGAGGACAGACTCTCTAGTTCACGTGTGCCAAACAGATGAACATTGTCTGCATGTTTGCAGATCTGCCTTTTGAGATGTGTTTGAGATATATGATCTTTGGCTAGGGTAATGGGTCTTTTTTGGAGGATACATCAGAACGGTTGGCAGTCTACTTTTATAATTTAAAATCTCATCCTGATTTTAGTTTCCACACTCCATTGTTTTTCAGCAGATTGTAAGCTATATAGAAGGGTCCACCATCCCAGTAAGACAAGTGGTGATGCCATGTTTAAGAAAGTGACTTATCAATTGCACTGAGAAAAATGGAAAAAAAAATCAAATACACATATGAGAAGAAAGCAGTTTTGCAAAAAGTTACTTTAGCTTTAGAATCATGAAAATAGGTTCCCAAAGGAAATGTCCTGCTAGGAACTTACTAACTGGCCTGCAACAGAATTGTCTGCTTTTCCTTGCATAGTTAAAGATGCTGTGTAGCATGATGTAAGATTGGTTGACCAAAAAAATTGCATATGTTTTCAAATATACCACAACAGCTCTATCAAGCAACACGTGTCTGAGTAAGTTGCTGAAGTATTAGAGCAGTTTATTAGTCAGATACTTGAATACTTACATTTTGTGTGTTCTGAGTTCAAAAGAATATTAGGAGGGTTTTTTTTCTATACAAAAAAAAAGACGCAGACAGGCTGGAAAGGGTCCAGAGAACAGCCAAGAGGATGATCAGGGGACTGGAAGATCTGCTCTCTGAAGAAAGGCTGAGAAATCTGTGCTTGTTCAGCCTTGACAAGAGAAGGCTTAGGGGATATGTTATTACCATGTACCAGTACTTTAAGGGTGGCTACCAAGAGGAAGGAGACTCCCTTTTTACAAGGAGTCACATGCAAAAAATGGGGAAGGGTTGCAACTTGCTCCTGGGGAGTATCCTACTGGAGTCCAGAAAAAATTCTTCACAATGAGAACAATGAAACCTTGGAACTCTCTCCCAAGGGAAGTAGTGGATTCCCCTACACTGGACAGTTTTAAGACTCAGCTTGACAGGGGGCTGGGCTATCTCCCTTAAACTATATCTATTTTTTGTTACTATTTTTCACCTTGAAAGGTTGGACCAGATTATCCTTGAGTTCCCATCCAACCTGGCAGTTCTATGATTCTAGTTTTAAGTGTAACAGTTGCACCGTTCTGCATGAAGAACCGTAGCAAACACGTGTGCTGTAGACTTTAGTGGTGACTGGAACAACCACTCTTGGAGGGCCGCTTTATCATTTTTAATTGTACTTGGGTGTAGGACTGTAGTGTTCTTGGGTGTATTGCATGGGCTGCATTATCTACAGCATTGTACAATAACAACTCTAGAAAAGGCAGTATACTTCACACTGATGCTTGTCTGGTAATATCACTTCTGTGTTATAATGGAAGGGGTTTTTTGTGATGTATGAAACTTGTGTTTTTTATATAAACAAGTACAGTTTAGACTAGTGTTGTGGTAATGCCTGTTCTCACCTGTAAATAGTTCTGTATGTACACAAGGCACTGCTCCTGAACTTCGGATTTATATTGCGGTGTTCAGTCTTAGTTTTTACTTCACTATTAAAAGCATCAGGTTTTTGCTTCTGACTTTGTTCTTTTGAGTTTTTAGGTATGCAAACATGTACAGATAGTTCATATTTATGTATTGCACATGATCATGCTACCCAGCGTTTATGCTGTATTGTATTATGTAAATAATAAAAATCATGTACAGAAGGAAATATTTCCTTTTGTGATAGTTCATTGGTTTTTAGTTACTGGTGTAAACAGAAGGTGACCTTGTAGAGGCTGAGAATGCAAAGTCGGTACCAAGCTTATAGACATCATCTTTATGCTTATTTGGATAGACCAGCTTATAACTTGCACGAGCAGCTGGAATACAGATAACTATTTGATGGCCTGACAGAAATGCCAGCAAACAACAATGTGTTTAAAGGGAGCAAAGAAAAGCGTTAAAAGTAAACTTCAAAAGGTTTTTTTTCTTTTGCCTACACAACTTATTTTTGGTGGATCTATTATAACAGCTGGTAAACTGACTGCTATTCTGTCCACATCTTCACCAGTAGACCTGGACAGAGTTATTGTCAGGGTCAGCATCCAAATACAGATGTTAAATATGCCAGATTTATCCTTCCCAGTGAGAAGAAACACAGCACATGTTGCATTAGAGGAAGACATCTTTGCTGCTGGATAATGCATAAAAGTTGCTTATATCAGAAATGGATAATGTGCATACACCAGCCCATAAATTACTACTACAGCCACTGCATATAATTCTGGTGAGGGAACGCAGACATACTCTGGGACTTCATTTTCCAGGATGAATCTTCTGACTTTATCATGGAACAGTGTTAAAGTACCAAAATTACCATTTTTCTACTTTTTGTATTAAAGCAAAATCAGCCACTCCACTGCAGCATAAAATGCTTTTATCTCAATTTTTTTTTTTTTAACCTGAGAATACCGTGTAACAATACTTGAGCAGGCTGTCTTGTTTTGATACTGTAATGACTATAGAGTGTTTTAGGCTGGGTAATAGTACAGATGCTGGTATTTAATTAATTATGGTAGTTTCAATCTCACTGTCTGCTTTTTCATCTGAACAATTGGGAAGACTTGTTGAAATAATTGGTTTTGATAGCTCAGTGGATCAAAGCATGGGATGAAAAATCCTTGATTGTCCTAATCAAGATAAAAATCTAGAACTATTTCATATGTAAATTGCCTAAAAGTGGGATATAAGCCTGTACTCAAAAGTCTGTAAGCTCCTCTGAACTTTGTTCTTTTAATAATTTATATAGTGTCTGTAATCATTCAGGAGCCTTAATTCTGTTCAAGCTCACTAAACGCTCAAATGAGGGGAAGGTTCTTTAAAAAGAGCAGGTATTGACAAAGGGGAGGGGTGGTGTACTTAAACTTGGGTGCAAACACTATGGTATATCTTCCTTGGCAAAGAGTAAGAATATTGGAGACTGGTAGCCTTTTAGGAATATATATAACTCCCATGGCACTGCCAGTACAGTTTTAATACAGTGGTAGTAAAAGGCTTTGTGAGAGTCCATTTATAATGTCTACACACAAACCATTCATAAGGCTGCTGTCATTTCTCTTCAGTTTAAAATGACAAGCAGCTATGAATTGTATACCCATCTTCCAAGAACAAGGCATGGTTGCTTCACATGACACTGATCCTCATGTAACATTTGGCTGTTAGACTGAGATGTTCTTAACTAACATGCTGTAAAAAATAAACACACTGTTCTTGGAAGAGCTCCTCTGTCCTGAACAAGTTTGGCAGACGATGGGGACTTTTTTCAGTTGGGGAACAAGAAGGAAAGTACAAACAAATAAGTAAAAGCAGCTAGGTGACTGAAAATGGCTTGGTAATCTTCAATCTGTGAAAATACTCGCCTAACTGGTGTTTTGGTTGTGTAATGTCATGTTCCACCAGGATTCTGTGCAAGCTTACTGACAGCTGTTACTGTTAAACCTGAAATTGGGAGTATAATGATAAGCCTCCTGCAGTGTGTGCAACCCGGTGTTGTAAGACTGATGAGCTGCCGGGTGACTCAATCAGTTGTGGTGCATAAGGGTGCCACGAGGTTCAGAAGCCCTGACTCTCTTCCTGGTATTTAGCTCTCTGCAAATGTGCTTCTGATAATCGGTCACCACGTGTTTATTTGCAAGTGTATGGGCATGTCCTAGCCATTTGGATTTCTCATGTCTCTTAGTCACTCAAAGGATAGTTAATAAGGATTTGACTCATGTCTGGTGTCTATAATGAGTCAAAATGCACATCAGTTTCTCATCATTCCAAAGCAGTGTTACAATATCACCTGATCCACATGCTCGAAGGAGGAAATGCAGAGCAAATGTGGAAACTGGTTTGCTTCAGGTATCTGGGTATTTTAAGTACCAATGAATCAGTAAGAGAAGGAACTTTGCCCTGTATAGAGGTATGATTTATGTGTTTGTTTTATTAGTTTCTCAGTCAGCCGAACAATGAAAATTAATTTTTTCACAATGACCTATTACTGTTACCCTTGATCTTTTTCATAATTAAACTTAAAACACCCGAGAAGATGGATGGACTGTGCTGTGATTCAGGAGAGACAAAAGGCTCCTGCAGTATGACTGAAAGTACCTGAATGCCATTGGAATTAGTAACTGGCAAAGCCAAACAGTTAACTGAGGGAAACAGTTAGAAAACCTGAGCTGGAATAACAATGGCATTGATTACCTGTGGAAATGTTAAAACACAGTCCAGGAGCAAATTTCTATCTGAGTGAAGTGAGGCTTAGTTATCACCACAGTGAGGTCACTAACAGGAGTGTTTAAAAATGTCATTTCACAGCCCTAAGCTACCCTTTAATCTACTGTAAGTGCTTCAGCAGAATGTGCTTCAGTCTTTAAATTGCCCATTGTAGTAGTAATTTAGTGGTGGCCAAGGAAGAAGAAGGGTTGGGTGGAGTTATTTTCCTAGACTGAAGAAAATACGGAGATCATTTGTGCCAGAAAGGGCACATCAGGAAAAACAGAAACAAGGACCGGATTACTGACTCATAAAGTATTGAATTCAGGAGAAACAGCAAGTCTTGGCGTATAGGATACAACGCAGCAGAGTATCAGCATCCTGTGATTTAAATTAAGTGAAAATAGACATGTAAAACAGTTAAAGATGGCAGTGCCAAAATAAATGTGAGAATCACTACCTACGCCTATTGTGTAGATACAGATCTGTAGCATTAAAAAAAAAAAAATATTGATGAAGTTACTAGAGTCACAGCTTCCTGAAGAAGCTGCATCTCACTCTTAATCTTTTGTACTAGATGGCAAGATGTAGACGATTCTTTTTAAATGCCAATTTCATTTCACTGTGTGTTTGTCTGCTGTAAGATTGTGGCCAGTATTGTACCAACCTTGGAAGTTTCTCATGTGAATATAACTTTTGCTCAAGCTCCCTAACTAAGATGTCTGTATCTTTACTAAACCTCCCTGTAGTCTTTTTTTTTTTTTCTCCATGTATCTACAACAAGCTCACTGCATGTATTCCCAAGTAGCAATAAGCCTGGTATCACAAACAGGTTTTTTCATTATGGA